ATTTCGACAGGGTTGCCCTCTCTTCGTTTCTAATTAACTTTCTGATAGATTTACTTCTTGAAACAGCCATGTTCTCGTGCAAAGATAGCAGTATGGAGTTACTTCCAGGTGGCAGACTGTCTCATCTAGTGTTTGCAGACGACATTTTGCTATTAAGTGAAGTTGCAAGCTCTTTCGTATAGTATGAGTGCTAGTGCAGCTATGTTCGGTATGTGTTTTGCANATCAAATGTAAAATGTTGCTCCAAGATTGCGTTGGTCCAGCACCAAGTCTCACCCTAACTGGGAAAGTAGCAAAGGAAGTGGACAAGTTTTGCTATCTGTGCAACTATATCTCACCCGGCGTACGCATCACATATGAAGTGTCGGCGCGCATACAGGAGGCTCGGTTGGCATGTGCCAACTGTGGCGCCGTCGCGACATCCGATTGTCTGTGAAGGGGCGAGTATATGCTGCAGCAGTTCGGGCAGTCTTCCTCTACGGTGCAGAGGCCACTAAGGGAATAAGATAAAAATAGATTGTCGGTGTTCGAACACCGCTGTTTACGTTGCATTGCATTCTACAATGATCATAACCTGCCTGCTCAGAGGGAGTTCAGCGGCTCGCAACGAGAATGGTTGAAGGTGAGAGGGAAGTCGTAAGATCAGAGACTCCATGGCCTGGGGCTCTTTTCTCCGGAGAGGAGTAGACTCCGGGGTGACCTCATCTAAACCTTCAAAATGATGCATAGGCCTGGAAAGCCTGTTTCAGGAAAACCTCGATTCGAGAACAAGGTGTCACTGTGAAAAACTAAGAAAATCTCAATCCAGGGATCAGCTATGAAGACCGACTAATGGCAACTAGATTGTTTCCCGTGGCACACGAACGACTGGGAGGTAACCTGATTTACATCAGATGCATCCTTCGGGGCGACTTTGGTCTGGAACTGCATTCGAAATTCCTCCTGAGTAACAATGACCGCCTCAGGAGACATGCACTGACACTCCGCAAGATGCAGTCAAACGGTCCACCACTGGTTTATCGTCAGTCAGGGCGGGTGACAAATGTGTGGAATGCGTTACCGAATGACGTGGTGAAAGAGCCGAATTACGGCTTACTTAAAGTTGGGCTCGAAAATCCAAAACAGGAGTGCTGGATGGATGTCAACATCTACTCAGCCCATTTGAGTGTACAGTGCTGGAGCTAATACGGGAGATTTC